GCCGAGCCGAGCCGAGCCGAGCCGTGCCGAGCCGAGCCGAGCCGAGTTTTAGTAATTGCCCTTTTTTCAGGACCCGGGCTGGAACGCACCGTGGAGGTCCGTGCGATCATGCGTTTTCGCACCGGGCTTGAATTACTCAGGTCATTAACTGCATGAATGGCTGTTGCTTTACATATACCTTTTGCGGTCACTAGCATAAATCATCATAAATTTTGCAAAGTGAATGTACAGTTTCCATTTAACAGTCGTTCTTTAAAAGTAACCTAGTTGTTCATAAGAAATTTTTTCGCCAAGATTTTTAAGTGCCCGTACGTAAGAACCAATGCATACCTCAAGGCTGAATTTGAAATACTTATGTTGTACTAGGACAGGGAACATTCCTTAAAAATTTCAGCTTTCCAGCTTTTCTGGTCAGTTAGCAATTTTTCCGCCAAAACCTTCACATACCTGTATTTAGATACTCCACGTGCTTGGAAAGCTGAATTTGAAATTTTTAATTTGCACGTGGACGGGGAACATCCTCCTAAAATTTCTGCCTTCCAGCTCTTCTGGTTGCAGAGTTAGCAATTTTCCTGGAGGAACTTTCATACGCCCTTACGTGAGTACCATGCGCAGCGTGGGGCTGAATTTGAAATGTTTGAGTTGCGCTTGGGCAGGGAACATTACCCCAAAATTTCACTTTCTTGGTACCCAAGTTATATTTTTCTAAAGCTTCTGTACGCGGCACCAAGGCATCCGCGGGGGATGAAATTAAAAAGGGAGGGTTGCGCGTGGTATGGGCGCATACTCCAAAAGTTTCAGCCTTCTAGCTTTTCTGGTTCTCGAGTTGAAATTGGGTGACAAAAAGTGCGAACACACAGATGCATGCGTACACACATACATACATACATACATACACACACACACACACAGCCTCTTCCCAATTTGCGTTTTTGCAATTTGCATATATGCAGCATAAAAATTGGGTGGAACAAGAAATGTTTTCTGCGTAATACTGTTAATTTTTTGTCTTTTTGTCTCACTTTTGTATTTCTTCAGTGTTTTTATGACAGTGAAAAGTTTTTTGCTTTGAATAATTTCGAACTTATAGCAAAATTCTGTAGGCTACCGCACAGAGGTGGTGCACTGACTGTAGTACACGAGCACTCCTGATTCATGGGCTATAGAGCAATCTTTTGATTTATAATTTATCAGATGGGGCTGAATTCAATCTTTTTCATGTGCTCGCCAGCTGAGATTAAAACAATCAAAACCCAAGGGAAAGAAGAGGTGACGAGATTTGACCAAACGATGCCCATCGTCGACTGAAAGTGTGAACAGGACGCTCACTAGCAGCATGGCTTATCCTCAGCAGTCTTTTCGGCCAACACTGCCAGTTTTTCACCTCTACCAATTTGGTAGTGCTAAATCACTACTGATTTCATCAGTTTAAAGGGATCTTGGCCTGGGCAGCACGGCTGTCGGCGGCTTTTATGCAGTGTGAAGTCTTGTGGATCTGATGTGTCCACCGATTCATTTCGGCAGTTCGGGCGATTCTGCATCCAAAGCCGTTGCATTTCAGATCAGAAGCGATGGCATATACCAGCTGGTTTATCGAAATCGCAACATCCGCTGCTTGTATTTAAACTGCTGCAGAGGTCAGTTACCACACTGTTGTAATCTAAAATGAGCTTTTATTCCCGAGTTTACTCTGCTAAGGTGTCCATGAGACATGCAAAGCGAAAAGGAGGACTCTTCGCGAAACCGCACTTTTTCGCTTCTTTGTTAAAATGGTGAGCGAGGGAGCCAATTAAAACAAATTAAGAACACTGCCTTGCTTCCTGAAACAGCACTCCAAAGATATGGACTTGGCTTTTTTTGCCCTGAAAGTTTGCAAAACATTCTTTTATTTCATGAATTATCATTTGCTTGCAAAATCCCCGTAAGTGCAGTCCAATTTTGCATCACTGCTCAGACTCGA